AGGGGCGCCCCGCGTCTTCCCCCGCCGCTGCCCGGCGCGCGTAGTTCTCTCCCTTCGGCTTACAGCATCCGCCGGAGCTTCTCCTCTCTCCGCCTACGCGGTGCGAGTGTGCCGTGTGCGCCAGTGCGCCCGCAAGCCCGAAAGTTCGCGCTCCGCCACGCAGCCCAAGCTCTCTCTACCCGCGCGCTGATCGGCCACGTTCGTCAGGCCGGGAGCCCCCACGTAAAAAGAGGCACCCGGGCCGGGCGCGCGCGCCAGAAAAGAAACGATTTGTTTAACGTATATATTTAGAAATAAAAAACGAAAAGTTCGGTTCTCACTTTTTTTTCTTCTTAAGTAAAAAACGGAAAGTTTCGCGACGAAGTAAAAAGAAAGGGAAGCAAAGGTGCCGGGGAAAGGACTTGTTAACGACGCGGCTCGACTTAGTAGATACTGTGATGTTAAAAGCTCGCCCGAGAGCTTGCAGTGAGAGAGGATCGAAGAAGATCGTCAACCTGCCGGCTTCGAGTGCGCCGATGTTGTGAACATCTTCTTACCCGTCCTCGTCCTCCGAACTTGTCTCCTTGGGATCGGCGCGACAAACAGGTGAGTGCCGACAATCAGCGAGCGAAGGGAGACGTCATCACCCTTCCTCGTTCACTTTTCATTTTTCTCGTTCCGCTCTCTCGTCGTTTCGAGTTTCGCGCAACGATCCTCTTCTCTTGAATCGCACGCGGAGCGATCGTGCGATCCTTTGGGCTATTAATTGTTTCGCTATCTCGATCGCGTGGAGTATTTTCGCGAAAATTGAGACGCCGGAACTTTAGCGCGAATCAAAAAGAAACGAAGGAACGATTATTGAATTTCTCGTCACGACAAACGGATTATTCTCTTATGATTTTCTTTGACTTTATGATTCAAATTTATGATTTTCTCTTTTATTTTATGCCTTATGTTGACATAAGACGTGATGTAAGAAGAGTCACAAGTATAACAAAAGGAAAGACGTAAGATTCCCGCGAAAAATGGAGATAAGTAAAGACGCGCGTTGACTTTTTTCGCGTCTCGGCAAAATGAAAACAAACGGAATGTTCTGTGTTCTAAAGTGGAGCACATGCGAACGCGGTTTTACACAATTAAGTAACCCTTGTGACAGCATTTACTTTCTTTCAGTAAAGAGATACGTTGCTCGAGAAACGGCGCGTCTTCCGCTCACGCTAGTGAAACACTCGCTTATTTTCCTCACGGTGTCTGACTACGCAGACCGTTTCCCCTTAAGCTAGCTATACTCCGCGCGAAGGAGGCTTTCTGATCGTGTGGTGATGTTGACGGTGACGGGTGTGATGTGTTGGTGCTAAATGTGCTTGCGTTAAGAAACGACTGTAAAAGGAATTCGTAAAAAAAAAAAAAAAAAAAAAAAAAAAAAGGGGGGAAACAATCACCGAGTGACAAGATCGTGCGAGAGATCCGTGTCTCTTTGATCGTAGTGCTCCTGATTAATGAAATAAAAACGATTGTGCGATTGATAAGTAAAAAACCGTGCAATGTAATCGCGCTAATAATAAATAATTGAATAGCTTTTTATGGATGCGCTAAGATAGTTAGGTATCGAATACTTCAATAATCTAATCGCGTTTGAGATGTTAAATCGCTACTAAAGTTTGCGCTATTCTGTGACATCACTTCGTGCGATGTTCCGTCGACAATTGAAAAAAGAATACGAGTGTAAAAATGTGTTTTATTATTATAAAATAACATTACAAATTTTCTTTAAATTATAATACTGAGAATAAGTATAATAAATCTGATATAATGTCTAAATAATTCGGCTGTAGAGAAAGGCGTGTCACAATTACGTGATAACTTAAATTTCTAAAAATCGTGTTGATAGAAATATTGAGTACAAGTGTTTCAATAAGTAAATAAGAAATTCAGTCAATTATAGGGAATAAAAGTAATAAATGCGTAATATTAGATATATATTTGAGAAAAAAAAACCATTTTTAAAGAAGCCGCGTGTGATAAATGCAATCGATTGAATTCTAAAATATTAGTAGAATTGCAACATAACGCAAAAGCATTGACGAATAAAAGAGAATTTGAAACGCGTGATAATTCGGCAAAACTTATCGGAAACATCTTCGTGACAGTAGGTATGGCCGGCTCCTGTCAGCCAGAAAAGCGGAGATGTCAAACATTGTTCCGACGGCAGCCGTTTAACCCGCGACAGGTCGGGACAGACGCAACGCGGATTCGTTTTTAAATCAATAACATAAACCTCACCGAAGCTATTCTCAAACGCGACATAAGCTGAAATGTATAAATAACCAATCATTTAGAGAATATCAATTCGCCGTAATAAATAATGCCTCGAAAATCACGCTAAATCCAATTAACGCTTCGAAAGCATCGTTTCTCATTATATAAAGTATTTTTATAACTATTCAAGAATATCGTGTTAATTTTTGCATATATAATTGTGAATTACATTTCTCGATTTTATAGTAAAAAGGTAATCAATGAAGTAAAACTTAGGAAAAATGAGAGAAGAATTCAGTGCTGTAATTAAATATTTCATACTCCCTGTTTTTCACGCTGATTAGCGTAAAACAGAGATTTGCACGCGGACACTGTATTTCAGATAGTCAAAAGAATTTTAGGAATCCTATTTTATCGTACACTTAAAATTAATGAAGGCGATGAACGATGACGTATCCATGGAACACTGTTGAGATATTATTCGGGCAGTCGTCCGTGTTGAACTAAGATCACGAGAAAGAGTAACCAAGTCCAACGGAAAATCCAGTAGAACCAGTTTTATCGGTTCAGGTACACGTTTGAAAAAAAAAGTCCGGTTTTGGAGCGAAAGGGTTTCAGTAAAGCGCGCGGCGGAACTGTTTTGCTGTCGGAATGCCGCGTGCAGTTAGCGGTTCGATCGATGGTCGCGTATAAACAGCTAATAATCAAACGAATCGTGTCATAAACAATCCCCACGGTAGGGGCGGTAGGGTGGTGGTAAAAGTATAAATGAGTGTCGATCGGTAGTGGGGTATACAACCAGGGGTGGGGGTGGCGGCTTCGAAAAGCGCAGAAAAGCTTGACCCGCATAAAAATTTGTTTCGATACATCCGTGGATTCACAGCTCTCTCTCTCTCTCTCTCTCTCTCTCTCTCTCTCTCCTGTCTCTTCTTCTTGGAACCGGAAATTAGTTAATAAGAGAAGCCTATCTATTATAATTTCTAAAATACCGACCTGTTATGATATTCGGAATCTTCACATCCATTAGTTCGGACAAAATGTTTAATTATTATGGATTTTGAAACTCGAGTATCATCTGTTTTCGGAAGATACTTTGAATTTAGATTCCTTTTAACTATAATTAAGCGCGTTATCTAAAAGCTACAGCAACTTGTCAAATTGAAACTGATATTAGTTTTTTCAAACTTCGGATAAATATAAACGATTATACTGTCATTCTCTCAAATATCTAAATTGATACATATTGAGAGAAATGTACATATTACCATTCATTTTATTGATACGTGACTAACAAAAACTTTCTTATTTTTTCATGAATGGTATTGTTCTGATAATCATGTGATTATCCTATGATCTGTTTTCTGTTCTTATTTTAGACTGCATTAGAACTCTCTCTCTTTCTCGCTTTCGAATATCATACATTTCTCACTTTAAGTTTCAAAAATGTACATTAATTTAGCCACAGAAAACAAATCTCTAATCAAATTTTGATTACTTTAGCTAAATTTTGATCAGAATAATCAAATTTTTGTTAGAAATAATAATTGTGTTGTCCAAACTAAAATTTGATTATTTTAACTAAATTTTAGAATAACACAATTTTTTAAATGAAAAAATAAGAAAGTTTTTGTTAATCACATATGAACAAAATGAATTACACGTACTAAACATTCCTCTTAGTGCAATCTCGTAGTCAAAGGGCTAAGCGTGAAAGAACTTTTGTGACACATTGTAAATCGGAGTTCATTTTTGTATATATTTAAGTATCCCTCCCTGGCGAAAATAAAAATCGGAACGTAAATCGAATATATAAAGGGAAGTGTAAATGAAGCTTCTAGTTCTTCTAGAGGTGAAACAACGAAATGTAAAAGAGTCATTTATGTTTCTTTCATGTTTCGTTATTTCAATTTTAGCTTCTTAAAAGTTTCATTTACACTTCTGTCATTCTCTCCTTATATTCCATTTACTTTCCAATTTTTATTTTTACTGGATGAACTATATAATTCTCAATTTTTAAACAAAATATCTGATTATTTGTGATGATGCTCCAAAAAGAAATTTATTATTAAGTATTCAGTCAATTCGGTTATGATGTCTAATAATATTTTTGTGAGAATTTTTAGAATTTCTTATTAATTTTATTAGACATTGTTTTTTTTATCTTGATTATTTCTGAATATAATTTGAAATTACATAATTCAATTGCTTTAGGGTATTTTATAAGCATCATCTTTTTCTAAATAAATTGCCGTTTATTTCCAAAATTATTGTTTTATGTTGAGTAAAACTGTAAAGTTTTGCTTTATTAAAATTTTGTTATTAATAGAAATGCAAAAATGAAAAAGAGAAAGAAATAAAATCTTTTCACCTCTTAGACATGTATGGTTAATATTGATGGTATTAAAGATTATAATTTCATATATTTTTAATCTGTAAATTATATTTAAAAAAATTTTATTTGGATCACATTTAAAAAATTATATTTATTTGATATAATGAAAATCTGAGCAAAGACGAGTTCATCTTTGGTCTGTTTTTCATTATATTTTGTATTTCAATAACGAGCAGGTTATTATTGTTTATCTTTAAATTTATTTATATTTGTTAATAACTAAAAGAATAATATAGTATTTTCTGCGGAATCTTGTTCATAATGCAACACAGTGTGACCCGCTTTGAAAATCTACAAGCGATTTTACCAATATATTATTTATAGGAAATATTTTCCATCTTCATATTTTATAAACTTTATACGTTTGCGGATTTCACATTAAGCTTATGAACAAAGATTCATAAAAAAATATCACAATTAGATTCTTTTTCGAAGGAAACAATTTTGCAAGATGAAATAAAATCACAGATAGATTGTCCATAAATTAACATTAGACTGTATTTCACGTTTTTATATTATTTTAATGCCCTCTTGTCGTTGTATCGGTATAATTTTCACATAACGTTGCAATATCTGTCATCGTCTTTCATAGAATTCTTCATATCTTCGTCTCAACATACATATCATTGCATGTCTAATTTACTCTCACATAAACTTTGAAGCAGTTTACCCGTATCTTTTCGAAACGGAACTTCAATAAAGTCCTTGACAGGTATGACATTAATCTTTCACGAAAATGTAGAAAATATAAAAAATTTAACAAGAAATCAAAAATACACATGTATCGCGCCCGTCCGGGAAGATATAATGGACCTTTATTCTTGTCTCACACTAACTCATCACTGTCACCATCATATCCTAAATGAGAATTCCATCCGTCGACGGAAAATATCAGAGTATCGATGACAGTAGCACAGGGTTGTAAAGCTTATCCCGGAAAGAAACGCGGCGAAAG